CACCTGCTAGGGACTACTTACCATCCGGCAAGACTTGCTACTCCCTCACATTCAATACTAGCTCTTTTATCTGAGACATTAACATGAAACCTTAACATATTCATAACATTGGCCATTTCTTTACTCTCCAAACTAACAGGTGAGCCCCTTTCACTCTAGGACAAACCAAGCCACCATCTCTTAACTGTATAACTGCAACAGCCTTCTAACTGGCCCTTCACTTTCTTCATTGTTCTGCTCATACACCAACGTGTATGATCTGCTTACAATAAAAAGCAGCTTGTGATACTCCCCTGTTTAAACCCCTCCGATGATTTCTATCTCAATCAGAATAAAATCCAAACTCTTTCCACTGTCTGCAAGGGATTTCTGAGCTCATCTCCTTTCCCTGGTGGTATCCTCTGCTTTTAACTGCCTTCTTTTTTGTTCCGCCCTCCCCACCCACAACAAGTGTGCCCAACTTCTTTTTTGCTTTAGGGCTGTCTCATCTACCATTACCTCTGCATAGACCACCTCATTCTTCCACCCTTGCTACCTGAGAGAGACTCTCTCCACATCATGGCCTGTCTTGATCCGTTCAGATAGCTGAAACAAAATACATTAGACTGGGTGTCTTATAGGCAATAGAAATTGACTTCTTCAAATTCTGGAGGCTAGGAAGTTTAAGGTCAAGGTCCTGGCAGATTTGGTGTCTGGTGAATGCCTGTTTCTCATTGATGGTGCCTTCTTGCTGCATCCAAAAACAATTAGAAAGGGCAAGGCAGTCCTGTTTGGCCTCTTTTTCGAAAGGGCACAAATCATATTTCCAAGCGCCCTTGCGTCATACCTAAGCACCTCTCAAAACCCCACCTCCTAATACTACCACATTAGGGATTAGGTTGGAGTCTATGAATTCTGGCGAGCACACAAGCACTCAGACCAAGCAGTAAGAACTTCTTCCTGCTCATCCTTCAGCTCTCAACCTCAACATAATCTCCTTAGCGAGGCCTCTCCAAATCACTCTGTGGAAACGAGGCCCATCCAAATTGTTAGTTATTTTAGCACCTTGTCCATTTCCTCCAGAGCATTCAACAACACCTGCAATTTCAATTATTTGCTTGCTTTCTGGTTTAACATTAGTCTCCATTACTGGATTGTAAATTCCATGGGGTGGAGACTGTTTATATTTTGTCCGTTACCACATAATCCAGAGTCTGGAATTATGGTTGACATGTTGGCTCTCAGTAAATCCATGTCAAGTAATTTTTTTTCTGAATCTTATTAACTATATAAAATATTCCAGATTAAATTACTTGATTCTTTCAGGGTGCTTTAAGAATTTTTTTAAAAGATTTATTTATTTGTTTGAAAGGCAGAGTTACAGAGAGTCAGAGGCAGAGACAGAGAAATGTCTTCCATCTGCTGGTTCACTCCCCAGATGGCTGCAATGGCTGGAGCTGTGCCAATCTGAAGCCAGGAGCCAGGAGCTTCTTCCAGGTCTCCCACGTGGGTGCAGGGGTCCAAGGACTTGGGCCATCTTCTACTGCTTTCCCAGGCCATAGCAGAGAGCTGGATAGGAAGTGGAGTTGCCGGCGTCCATATGGGGTGCTGGCACTGCAGGCCAGGGCTTTAGCCGTGCCAGCCCCAGTACAAAAAAATTTTAAATAAACTTTTGAGGGGACAGCATTGTGATGTTGCTGGTAAAGCTGCTGCTTGCAACCGTGTCATCACTTATGGGCTCCGGTTCACATCCCGGCTGCTCCACTTCTGATCCAGATCCCTGCTAATGGTCTGGAAAAAGCAGCAAAAGATGGCCCAAGTGTTTGGGCTCCTGCACCTATATGGGAGACCTGGAAGAAGCTCCTGGCTCCTGGCTTCAGATGGGCTTGGCTCTAGCCGTTGTGGCCATTTGGGGAGTGAACCAGCGGATGGAAGACTGACCTCTGTCTCTGTGTCTCTACCTCTCTCTGTAACTCTGTCTTTCAAATAAATAAAATAAATCATTTTAAAAAAAGATACATAAATAGATAAAATAAATCATTAAAAAGATATATAAAGTTCCATCACCACAAAGATATTTCATATTTTTCCTTTAAAAGCACACTAACATCTTCCCCCTCATCCCTGCTCTACCTCATCTCTAAGCCCTAGCAACCACCACCTGTTCTCCATTTCTATAGTTCAATCATTTTAAGAATGTTATGTAAATGAAACAACAGTTAACCTTGTGGAGTTAGCTTTGCATTTAGCATATTTCCCTGGAGATTTTCCTAAGCCATTGTGTGTATCAGTAATTTGTGCTTTTTTTTTTATTGCTAAGAGTGTTCCATGGCATGGATGCATGTTTTTTAGCCATTCCTCTGCCTTAGATTATCTGGGTTGTTTCCAGTTTTTTATTGTTGCGAATAAAGCTTACATAAACATTTATGTCCAAGAGTACTTTAGAAAGTTCACAGAAATGGAATTACAAGATAAACTTATTTGGGTGCAAAAAGCTTTTTGAAAGCTGTGCAGTTTTGTCCATACAACACATTTTTGTATAAAGCTTTTGAAGACCCCTCTTGCAAGATTTTGTGTCAACATAAATTGTCAATTCTCAGGAGCAGATGTTTAGCCTAGCAGATTCTAGATTCAGCTCTAGTTCCTGACTCTAGTTTCTTGCCAATGCAGAGGCTGGGAGGCAGTGGTGATGGCTCAAATCATTGGGTTCCTGCCACCCACCTGGGAAACCTGAATTATGTCCCTGGCTCCTGGCTCTAGCCCCAGTCCAGCCCTGGCTCTTGTGCAAATCTGGGGAGTGAACCAGCAGATGGAAGACCTCTCTCTCTCTCTGCCTCTGCCTCTGCCTTTCTGTAATTCTGACTTTTAAATGAATAAATAAATCTTAAAAAAAAACCAGAGTGGCTATGCCATTTTATTTACCTACCAGCTGCATAACTGATACTTTTTTCTTCTCATACTAGCCAGCATTTGGTGTTGTCACTTTTGTATTTTCACTGTTCTGGTAGGTATGTGGTGATAGTTCATTGTGCCAAAAGCATATGGTAATTTTCGTTGTCCCACTGGCTAAATGATGTTGACATGATTTCGTGAACTTATTTGCCATCTGTATATATTGTTAGTTTCTTCATGTCCTTTGCCCATTTTCTAATTGGATTGCTTTTTTATTGTCGAATTTTCAGAGTTCTTTGTAGAATAGTAGATACAAGACCTTTTTCAAATATGTGGTCTGCAGATATTTTCTCCCTGTAGCTTGTCTTCTCATCTTTCACAGATCAAATGCTTTTTAAATTTTGATAAAATCTAATTTATCAACTTTTCCTGTTATGGATCATACTTTTGGTGTAAGGTCTAAGAATTATGCCTGGAAATATATTTCGAAATTTTTCTCTTGTTTTTTTTTTATAAAATTTTTATAGTTTTGTGTTTTACATTTAAACATGTGATCATGAGATAATTTTCTTTTTCAAATAAGATTTATTTATTTACATTAAAGTCAGAGTTACACAGAGAGACAAGAGAGGCAGTGAGAGAAAGAGAGATCTTCCAACCAGGTTCATTCCTCAAATGGCTGCAACAGCTGGAGCTGTGGTGATCTGAAGCCAGGAACCAGGAGCTTCTTCTGGGTCTCCCATGCGGGTGCAGGGGCCTAAGGACTTGGACCATCTTTTACTGCTTTCCCAGGCCATAGCAGAGAGCTGGATCAGAAGTGGAGCAGCTGGGACTTGAACTGGCACCCATATGAGATGCTAGCACTGCAGGCGGCGGCCTTACCCACTATGCCACAACGCTGGCTCGGAGGCAATTTTCTTAATATTAGGCATGAAGTTTAGATAGAGGTTAATTTTCCAGCTCTTGGATATTCAGTTGCTCCAGCACCATTTATTGAATTAGTCCTATACTTTGGAAAAATCTATCGGGTACATTTGTGTGGGTCTATTTTGGGGTTTCTATTCTGTTCTATTGATCTATGTGTCTATCCTTCCAATATGACTCCGGTTTGGTTAATATGTCTGTATAGTGGGCCTTAAAATTAGGAAGACTGATTCCTCCCACTTTACTTTTATTTTTCAAGAATGCTTTAGCTATTCTAGGTCCTGTGCCTTTCCAAACAGATTTTAGAAAAAGTTTCTCTATGTCTACAAAAAAAACCTTGCTGGGATCATTTAATATAACAGCTTTGTTAGATATAATTGGCATACAACAAAATTGCACATATTTAAGTCTGAGATTTTCCATACATCACAATTAACATATTATACATCACAATGGGGAAGATATGCAATCGCTAAGGTATCCATCAATGGGTGAATGGATAAAGAAAATGTGGTATATATACACAATAGGATATTATTAAGTCATGAAAAGAATGAAATCTTCACATTTGTAGCAAAATGGATGGAACTGGTGCTCATTATGATAACTGAAATAAATCAGACACAGAAAGACAAACACTGCATGTTCTCTCCTTTATGGGGATTAAAGAACAAAAAAACTGGGGCCGGCGTTGTGGCATAGCAGATTAAACCTCTGCCTGCAATGCCAGCATCCCATATGCACTCCACTTCTGATCCAGCTCGCTGCTAATGTGCCTGGAAAAATGTGTGGAGGATGACCCACATGTTTGGGCCCCTGAACCCACGTGGTTGACCCAAAAGAAGCTCTAGGCTTCTGGCTTCAGCCTAGCTCAGTCCCCCCTGTTGTTGGGGAGTGAACTTTGCGTTTATTTTTTTTAAAAGATTTATTTATTTACTTGAAAGTTACACAGACAGAGAATAGGCAGAGAGAGAGAGAGAGAGAGAGAGAAGTATTCCATCCACTGGTTCACTCCCCCAATTGGCTGCAATGGCTGGAGCTGGGCCAATCCAAAGCCAGGGGCCCGGGCTTCTTCTGGGTCTCCCATGCGGGTGCGGGGGCCCAAGGACTTGGGCCATCTTCTACTGCTTTCCCAGGCCATAGCAGAGAGCTGGATCAGAAGTGGAGCAGCCAGGGGCGCAGTAGTCCTGCGAGGGTTGGGGGGGTGGCGGCATGGGGGACGGCCTCCTGGAGAACGCTAACCCCCTCATCTGCGAGTGCTCAGGGGAGCAGCCGGTGATGGCGGGGGAGGAGGACGAGCAGGTTCCAGATAGCATTGACGCACGTGAGATCTTCGATCTTATTCGCTCCATCAATGATCCGGAGCATCCGCTGACCCTGGAGGAGTTGAACGTAGTAGAGCAAGTCTGGGTTCAGGTCAGCGACCCCGAGAGCACAGTGGCTGTGGCCTTCACCCCCACTATTCCGCACTGCAGCATGGCCACCCTTATTGGCCAGTCCATCAAGGTCAAGCTTCTGCGGTCCCTTCCCCAGCGTTTCAAGATGGACGTGCACGTTACTCCAGGGACCCATGCCTCTGAGCACGTGGTGAACAAGCAGCTTGCGGGTAAGGAGCGGGTGGCGGCCGCGCTGGAGAACACGCACCTGCTGGAGGTTGTCAATCAGTGCCTGTCAGCTCGCTCCTGAACCTGGCTGCTGGCCCCGACTTACTGCCTCGCCGGCGTCTGCCCCCAGCTCCATGCAGAGCGTGCAGCCGTTTGTTCATTTACTGACAGTGAGAAACTAATGTTTTGCATTTTGTAATAAACCCTTAATTTATATTTGTAAAAAAAAAAAAAAAAAAAAAGTGGAGCAGCCGGGACTTGAACCGGTGCCAATATGGAATGCTGGCACTTTAGGCTGGGGCTTTAACTAGCTGCACCACAGTGCTGGCCCCATTTTGCCTTTTTTTTTTTTTTTTTTTTGGACAGGTAGAGTTATAGTGAGAGAGAGAGAGAGAGAGAGAGAAAGGTCTTCCTTCCATTGGTTCACTCCCCAAATGGCCGCTACAGCCAGTTGCTGCACTGATCCGAAGCCAGGATCCAGGTGCTTCCTCCTGGTTTCCCTTGCGGGTGCAGGGACCCAAGCACCGGGGCCATCCTCTGCTGCCCTCCCGGGCCACAGCAGAGAGCTGGACTGGAAGAGGAGCAGCTGGGACTAGAACTCGGTGCCCATATGGGATGCGGGCGCTGCAGGCGGAGGATTAACCAAGTGAGCCACGGGGCCAGCCCCCCCCCCCACTTTGCCTTTCAAATAAATGAAAAATAAATCTTTAAGTAAAAATTAAATAAAAAACTTTACCTTAATATAGAATAGTGATTACTAGAGTTTGGGAAATGGAATAGAAGAAAGTTGGATAACAGGTACCAAGGCACAGTTAAGTAGAATAAATATGTTCCAGTGTTCCACAGCGCAGTGCCTCTGGGCTACAGTTCACAATAGTGCATTATATACATATGCAGAATGAACAGAGGGGATGGTAGGCTCTAAGCACACTGAATAGATAAGGGAATAGAAACGCTAATGACTTGACTTTTATCAATTCATGTTGTATACATGTGCTGAAATAATGCATCATGCTCCATTAAAAATGTACAAGTATTACAAGTTAATCAAAATGTTTTAAAAATAAAACCATCATCCACAACAAAAAACATATTGAACATAACTTTCTCAGTTTCCTCATGTCCCTTTGTAATCCCTCCCCATACAGCTCTATCTCAAGGCAACTGTTGACCTGCTTTGTCATTACACATTAGTTTGCATTTCTTATCAATGAAATCATATGATATGAACATTTTGGCTTCTTTCATTCAGCTTGATTCTTTTGAGATTCACCCATGTTCTGGAATCCACCAATAGTTTCTAATTTTTTAAGGCTGATCAGTATTCTATTGTACAGACATACCACAGTTTATCCATTTTCCAGCTCAGAGATATCTGAATTGTTTTCAGTTTTTGGCCAGTGTAAGCAAACCTGTTATGACACTCATGTACAAGTATTCGTCTTGGCATATGCTTACATTTTTCTTGGGTCAAAACCCAAGAGTAGAGGCTGGCGCTGTGGCATAGTGGGTAAAGTCGCTGTCTACAGTGCCGGCATCCCATATGAGTGCCGGTTTGAGTCCCTGCTGCTCCACTTCCAATCCCGCTCTCTGCTATGGCCTGGGAAAGCAGAAGAAGATGGCCCAAGTCCTTGGACTCCTGCACCCATGTGCGAGACCTGGAGGAAGCTCCTGGCTCCTGGCGTCAGATCAGCACAGCTCAGGCTATTGTGGCCAACTGTGGAGTGAACCATCAGATGGAAGACCTCTCTCTCTCTCTCTCTCTCTCTCTCTCTCTCCCTCTTCTCTCTCTATAACTCTGCCTTTAAAATAAATAAAATAGATTGTTAAAAATCCAGGAAACTTACATTGGTACAATGCATGGTTATAAATTTAAGCTGTTTTATCTCATGTGAAGATTTTTATATCAAATCAAGATACAGAGCTCTTCCATCCCCACAAAGATCTCCCTCTTACTACCTACCCTTTTAGAGTCAAACACATGCTTCATATCCTTAACCATCTATAACCTCTGGAAACTACCCTGCACCCGCGTGGGAGACCTGAAGAAGCTCCTGGCTCCTGGCTCCAGATCGGCAAAGCTCTGGCTGTGGTGGCCATTTGGGGAGTGAACCAGCGGATGGAACACCTCTCTCTCTCTCTCTGTCTGCCTCTGCCTCTGTGTAACTCTGACTTGCAAATAAATAAATAAATCTTTAAAAAAAAAACAAGAGTAATATAGCTGGCACAATGGATTCAATGTGTCATCTCTAAAATTCAAGTGCTGAGGCCAGCATTGTGGTGTAGCTGGTAAAGCCACCACCTGCAGCACCGCCATACCACATAGGCACTGGTTCCAGTTCCAGCTGCTCCACTTCTGATCCAGCCTCCTGTTAAAATGTCTGGGAAGGCAGTGGAGCATGGCCCAAGTACTTGGGACCCTGCACCCTTGTGGGAGACCCAGATGGAGTTCCAGGCTCCTGGCTTTGGCCTGGCTCTGTCCTGGTTGTCGCAGCCATTTGGGGAGTGAACCTGCAGATGGAAGATATTCTCTCACTCTCTCTCTTCCTCCCTCCCTCCCTTTAACTCTGCCCTTCAAATAAATAAACAAATAAGTAATCTTTTTTAAAAAATGTGATTAGGTCATGAGCATTCCTTGCTCTCATGAAAAGGATTAGTTGCTCTTAAACAAGGGCTTGATGTAGCTTGTTATTTTGGCCTTCTGCTTTCTACCACATAAGGACACAGCCCTTTGGACCTCCAGCAAACAGGATACCATCCTGGAAGCAGAGAGGAGCCTGCACCAGACAACAAACCTGCCAGTTCTTAGATTTCCCAGCCTGTAGAACTATGAGAAAATAAATCTCTGTTCCTTATAAATTACCTAGTCTCAGGAATTCTGTTATAGTGACATAGTGACACAGACTAAGACAGATGGATCATATGGCAAATGTATGCTTAATTTTTTTAAAGATTTGCTAATTTATTTATTTGAAAGGCAGAGTTACAGAGAGGGAGAGGTCTTCCATCTGCTGGTTCACTCAAATGGCCACAACGGCCAGAGCTGGGCTGGTTCGAAGCCAGGAGCCAGGAGCTTCTTCTGGGTCTCCCATGCAGGTGCAGGGGCCCAAGGACTTGGGCCATCTTCTACTGCTTTCCCAGGCCATAGCAGAGAGCTGGATTGGAAGAGGAGCAGCCAGGACTCCAACCAGCACCCATATGGAATGCTGGAGCTGCAGACAGATGCTTAGCCCACTAAGCCACAGTGCCGGCCCCTGGGTGCTTAATTTTTTAAGGACCTGCCGAACTAGTTTCAAAAATGGTTGTACTGTTTACATTCTCATCAGCAGTGTTTGAGTACTCCATATCCACCACATCCTTGCTAACCATTGGTATTGTCAACATTTTCATTTTATCTCTCTGATAGTTTGTATCCTATTAGTTTTACTTACCTTTCCCCAGTGCCTAATGAGGTTGAGCACATTTTCATGTGCTTATTTGCCATCTTTAGATCTTATTTGATGACATGACTATTCATATCTTTTGCCCATTTTTGTTATTTTTTACAATGTATTTATTTATTTGAAAGGCAGAGTTACAGAGAGAAAGAGAGATCTTCCATGTGCTGGTTTAGTCCCCAAATGGCCACAACAGCTGGAGCTGGGCTGAATTGAAGCCAGGAGCCTGGAGCTTCTTCTGGGTCTCCCAAGAGGCTGCAGGGGCCTGAGGACTTGGGCCATCTTCCACTGCTTTCCCAGGCCATAGTAGAGAGCTGGATCAGAAGAGGAGCAGTTGGGACTCCAACTGGCGCCCATATTAGATGTCGGCACTGCAGGCCGCAGCTTTACCCACTACACCACAGTGCTGCCCTCCCCCTCTCCCATTTTTTATTTTTTTAAATTTCTTTTAAAAATTTTAACACACATAAAAGAATACATACTTAAGTGGTGTTATTTGATATTTTGATACACATTCATTGTATACCATCCATCAGAGTAAATACATCTATCTCCACAGACATTTAGCATTTTTTTATGATGAAATATTTAAAAATCCTATTTTCTAGTTTTTTAAAAGACTTATTATTTGCTTGAAAAGCAGAGTGAAAGAGAGAGATGGAGTGAGAGTGGGAGAGAAAAAGAAAGATTTTTTGTCCTCTGGTCAACTCCACCTTGGTCTCCTACATGGGTGGCAAGAGACCAAGTACTTGTGCGTGCCATCCTCTGCTGTCTTCCCAGGTGCATTAGCAGGGAGCTGGATCAGAAGCAGAGCACCAGGTACTGGAATTAGCACTCTTATATGGGATGCCAGCATTACAAGTGGCGATTTAATCTGCTGTGCCATAACGCTGGCTTCCTATCTTGTAGTTTTTCTTTTTAATAGAAAAATATAGACAATCTAACTCACATGTGCAGTCTGAAAAAAGGTGATCTCTAAGGAGATAAAAGTATAATTGTGGTTACCAAGGGCTGGGGAGGGATGGGAAAAGATTAATTAATTGGCATTTCTTTTTTAAAATATTTTATTTATTTATTTATATATTTATTTGAAAGTCAGAGTTACACACAGAGAGGAGAGGCAGAGAGAGAGAGAGAGGTCTTTCATCCTCTGGTTCACTCCCCCATTGGCCGCAACGGCTGGAGCTGTGCTGATCTGAAGCCAGGAGCCAGGAGCTTCCTCCGGGTCTTGCACATGGGTGCAGGAGTCCAAGGACTTGGGCCATCTTCTACTGCTTTCCCAGGCCATAGCAGAGAGCTGGATCGGAAGTGGAGCAGCAGGGACTAGAACCGGTGCTCATATGGGATGCTAGCACTACAGGTGGCGACTTTAACCACTATGCTACAATGCCGGCCCCTTAATGGCTATTTCATTATAGCTAGATAAGACTTAGAAGTTCTGGGATTCTGTTGCATAGTAGACTGGCTAGAGACAATGCTAATGGGCTGCATATTTCTCTTTGCCCGCTTTAAAATTGAGTTGTTTTCTGAGTGATGAATTTCAATAGTTCTTTATATATTGTAGGAACATATCCTTTATCAGACATATAGTTAGCACATCCTGAGGGGTGTCTTGTCTACTCATTTTCTTCGCTGTGTCATTTGAAGAACAGAAATTGTAAAC